TATTTTTGGCTACTTTTTACTCCGTCCAAAAAATATATCCCGATCAAGAATAGACTATAAATATTATGGCCATATATTGTCGAAAATTAGCGAAACAGTTACAGTTTTCTACTTCGTTCCCTTCAATACTCTTGTTCTAACTGCATAACTAACTTTAGTTGTATGTAGACACCTTATTTTAGATTCCATCACGAGCCAAATTCCATGCATACTGTTGCCATATCTCGTCGAGCCACTCGGAGCATCTCCCCTACGGTAACGAGCTGGTATTATTGGATATTTACAAGTAAATGTCAAACATATAAATTGTATTTGGAATTTAATCAAGATACATCATAATGAGTGCAGCTCCCATTGGCTAGGGATACCCAAAGTTTCGTTTTGTTCGGACATTCTTATTTCTTATTATTTTTATAATACTATTTATTATTAGAACTGTTGTTTTATTTCCAAAGAGAAAAGAAATAGCGTATATTAATGATAAAAATGAAACGCAGTGTAAGACAAGCCCCAATAGATGAAGTGACGACCTGAAGTACATTGCAGGGAGTCAGTGAACTGAACACCTGCATAGTGCTCAGGACTATTTCTCATCGAAGTCTACGAGGGAGGCCTATGCCCAGAAGTGGACAGATAATGACTGAGATAATGATAGCGATGAATAATAAAAATAACCGGACCGACTGACATATATTTTTGCTACAGTAGAAACTGGTCTTCTCTTGTCACTGCAACTGATTTATTTTATTAATTTGTTCTATATACATAAATAAATAAATAAATTTTATTTACTACTCACAAGGAATATTTTACATTGTGTGACAATTTAGTATTTTAACTTAAAATTATTATCCTTGTGAGAGTCTGGAGTCTGAACTAGGTCGAAACCTGTAAAAAGTATCTTCTATATATTTTAATTTTATAATCTGATGCTGCTTAGTAGTTTGTATTCACAAAAACTCATTATTTATATAATCAAACTTTTGAAAAAAGCAACAGCTGAGATACTTGCGCGTCCTTCTTAGCTAAACTAGAGTACCGAATGGGAGGTAATAAAAAATGACTATTCAAAAATGCTTAAAACTAAGTTTATTTTCGAATAAATTATTTCTTTATTTATTTTGAATGCTCGATTAGTTTTAGAATCATTCGCGTCTCATATTTATGAATATCACAACGTGAATACTACGTATATTGAATAAGTTAATTCGTTTGTTTTTACACTTAAAACACTTGTACTTGAGAAACTTATATTTAAGTATATTTAAAAAACTTTTACTAACAAAATATCACAATTAATATTTTTTTAACCTAATTTCCATACTAATTTGATAGCAGAATGCACCGACTTATTAGGGAGGTTGAAATATTTTTTGCCAAACGTAATAGCAATGCAGTGTATTAAAAGGGCATCAATTTACTTTCGCCCTGTATGTATTGTAAGATGTGCATGTACATTGTTGCATTATGAAAGTGCAAAAAATATGTCTCTATTAGTACTGGATCAGGAATATCCGGATTCCTGATTGCAATTGTGGTGACCGTACATAGGATATATTTCTAGGCTCATGAATATATTGGCAATAAACTATTGAACTTTCCATTTAATGACTTATCGGTTCTTTAGATTCGTATAAAGATAGCCGTATCGACTGTTGACACAATTGCGGGTTCCGCACTCACGAGTTGTTAGGATTCACTTTGATGTGCCGACACCACGTGTTGAATATTTAACGTCAATATTGTTTTATTTTCAATAGTTTTTTTTTTTATAGTGTGGTGACGTGTTTTGTTACATGTTTCTGTATATTGTAGCGTGTGTTAAGTTGTTTTATGGCAATAACGATGATTCAGAATTTTTTTACGCAACTTTTCACGAGATTTTTTTTTTTATATACATATTTATAAATTTTGATTTTACACCGCTATCTATGTCTTTTATACCAGTTATACTAAGATGCTCAATCATACGCTAATGGGGTTCTTCAAAAGGGGAGTAAAGAGGTTTTTTTCAGGGTCGGCAACGCACGCGTAATACCTCTGGTATTGTAGATGTTCATAGGCTACGGTAACCACTTACCATCAGGTGGGCCGTATGCTTATTTAAATCATTTATTTGCAATATTATTTAAAAGTAATTGATATTAATGTTCATTTCAAAGTATTCAATTGTAACTAATTAAGTTTTTTAGCTGGCTTTTATTTTTAATGGGTGAAAATGTATTGGTAACCCCGTCCGCGCTATCGGTATACACCGACGAGGCACCAGTGGAAAATGATAGGTGAGAATGAATGCAGGTTAGTTGGCCCACCATGATGAATTCGACTAGAATAAAACATAATAGTTTCTAGGGGGAACCGCGTGGAGGTTAACCTTAGAGGGTATATTGCTAGTAATGGGGCTATTAGACCCCATTACTAACAATCCCTTTCCCCCGCTATGGAGAGGGCTAAGCTCGGAGTTTCTTTACGTGATAGAATTCGAAACGAGGCTATCCGCAAAAGAACTAAAGTAAACGACATAGCCCGAAGGATAAGCAAACTGAAGTGGCAATGATCTGGTCACAATGTTTGAAGAACCGACAACCGTTGGAAAAAGGTTCTTGAGTGGCGACCTCGTACGGGCAAACGCTGTGTAGGACGACCCCCCCCTCCTAGATAGAGTGACAACCTCAAATCCAAGTCAATGAATGCAGGTGACTCAGGACCGTTTCTTATGACGGTCTAGGAGGAGGCTTATGTTCAGCAGTGGACGGATAACGGCTGAGATGACGATGATGATGATGAATTATTTTCAGTGAAATTAATTAGACACATTTGCATCACATGGCTGAACTCAAATAAAAAGTATCCAATTAAAAAAACTAAAGTTTATTAATCAAAAAATCAAACGAAGAACACGAGAGTAAACCCTGGCGATTAAAAAAAAATAACAAATACCAAATAACAATCCACTATAAACCACTACAAAATATATATTATACCAGAGGGAGACTTTGTACAAAAGGCGTTTGCTTGGGTACCTTTATCCCATTCGTGTTTCAACCGTAAAGCAGTTATGTTTGCATGGCTGTGTTTCGGTTTGAAGCGTGGGATATGGCGTGAATTTACAGGCTACAGAGGAATAACACCTGAGTCCTCAGGAGTGGCAACGCATAGGGGGTATCATGGGCGAAACTCTGTTATGTCCATGGTATTGCTCAGGTCTATAGGCGACGGACAGGTGGGCCGTCAGCTTGTTTGCCATTCTAAGTTGTATATATATATATATATATATATATATATATATATATATATATATATATATATATATATATATATATATATATATATATATATATATATTATATATATATTTCATAATAATAAACACATTTGTATTGCATTCGGTAGAATTGACAGCATCCTCATTTTTAAGTTACTCATTAAAAAATTACTGACTCCAAAAAATGCCGAAAGATCGTCACAATGGGCCACATAGTCTGCGCGGAAATGTCCAGTTAAAATACCTTACTAAATGAAGAGCAATCACGCCAACATGATGGGCGTATTGTTATTACTGTATATATTACTTCATAATAACTCTCACAATTAACCTCCTACAATTAGTAGCACAAACAATTTTTGTTCGTGTCATTTATTGCATTCCGGACGCAAGCCTTGTATGCATCGGAAACACACAACTGAGTAATAGCGCCGTTTCAACGTTTCGTCTCGCCGACTCACATTTTTGCACACATTATCACGTATATGTTGCAGTTAAAACTCTTAACCAGTCAAAAATACTTTTGACTGAACAGGGCCTCTAGACAAGTGACAAGCGAAATCGTCGAATGAATCGACATCGCTAGCGAGTCCGTAAGTTGGAATGAGTCGTGCGGCGTTGTTACCTCATTCTATCTCACGAACTCGCTAGTGATGTCGATTCCACCGACGAATTCGCTTGCCACTTATCTGATATCCAATTGTTATTTATTTTTACTATTTAAACTAGTCGACTGAGCAAATTAAATTGTATTGCATTACTTAATATTTTAATAAATGTTATTTTATTATTATACAATTTCGTAATGTTGAAATGCTACAAAAATGTTTAAAATTGTAATTTTTGTTTTCAATATTTGCACGCTTGACCTAAGTAGATTTTGTAAGGTACTTTTAATTTATAAGATCAAATGTTTTATACCCAAAATCATTGCAAATGAAGTTATTATTATTGTTGTCTAGAGGCCCTGGTTGGTCAAAAGTGGTTTTAACTGAAAATTTTTGGTTATTAGTATCATTAACTGCAAATTTGCGGTTAGGTTAGGTTAGGTACTTTTAACTGTTATTTTACTCAAAAGTCAGTACTAAAGCATACTGTCAAAAGTACTTTTGACTGATTTTGCTAGTCAATAGTACTTTTGACTGGTTAAGAGTTTTGACTGCAACATATACAACGATACGGTTCCGGGATTTACTAATGGAAGTACTATATTAGCATTTAAACAAACATTTGTATAACATTTTTCTCTCCGAACAGCGGGGAGTGTCGGGATAATAATACATTGTTATGCCGTGATATGTTTTATTATGGTTTCTGACAAGTGAACATCTATATCGCTAAACTGCATTAATAAATTGTTAAATTGCTGATTTTCATTATTAAGATCTCTTTACGCATACAGAGTATATGACACAGTGGAAGTGCATCACAATAAACATTAAAATTGCGAAACTCTAGCGAAGACTTAGCCAAAAAATACAAAACAGTAAGTGCACAATCACATATATAAATATATAGACAAGAAATTTAACGGAATTTATTTTGAAAATGAACATAGACACACTGTGCAATAGTCAAATTGTCATTACAAACAGTCGTAGTAATAAAGTAGTAACGTCAGATTTTCGTATGGCACTGAGGGTAGATTAACAAAGCTGTCACAAGTAATTATCAACGTCAAGTATTATTAGTTATTCATCAAGTCACACAGGGAACGTTCCTATTCACGTAAAATATGAATAGCTCGTTGCAGCAACTGTTTGATAGTTTAAAAATGGAAATGGAAAAACAAACGGAACAAATTCACGATTCTGTGACTAAAACATTAACTGAAACTTTGGAAGATAAGTTAAAGCCTTTACAAGAAGAAAATTCATTACTAAAAATAAAAATACATCAATTGGAGGAAAAAATAAGCATTTTAGAGAAACAACAGAGAAAGAATAACGTAATATTATTTAACTTGGAAGAAAAGGAAAATTCTAACATAGAACTGGTCGATAACATCAAAAAAATACTTTATAAAGATTTAAAAATTACTTTGGAAGACCATGAAATTAATAAAATACATAGAATAGGGAAAAAAAGAATCGATGACACAAAAGCAAGACCAGTATTAATTTCGTTTGTAACCGAAAGGAAGAAAATAGAAGTTATGAAAAATAAAAAAGAATTACAGAATGTTTATATTACAGAAGATTATCCAAAAAATGTACTTAATAAAAGGAAAGAATTGCAAGCGCAAGTAGCGGAAGAACGAAAGAAAGGTAATATTGTATACATAAAATATGATAAATTAGTCACAAGCAAAGGTGGAAAATATATAAATAATAAAAAAAGAATGCTTTCAACCTCGCCAGTCGATGAAGGACAACCAAGAAAACAGCAAATTGTGCACCAATCCAAGGCAGGAAGAAATGCCTTTGAAGTAATGAGAAGGGGATCCAATTCATCTCCTTCAAGTTCTAAGGCAGTTAGCATGGATAATTCGGCATAGGAAATGGAAATCAGTAACTGTTACAAGCATAATAAAAACAAAAAACTCAACCCTCCCTCAAGCCGATTGGTCATCGTGAGGGATGTAGACCAATACCCCCAGAGCACAATATACAAATGATAGTTAAACATAATAAATATCAACAAAAACAAAGAATTGAAAATCTAACAAAGAGTACTAAGAAAGATAGAATATTCATTGCAACATTTAATGTGAGAACACTAAAAGATCCAGAAAGATTGTTAGAACTGGAACAAGCATTAGAGGATATAAAATGGCATATAATAGGATTAAGTGAGTTAAGAAGAACAGGAGAAGAAATAGAAGAACATCCAAATTATATTTTATATTATAAAGGCGAAGTACAGGGATTGTATGGTGTTGGATTCTTAGTAAAAAAGGCACTTTCTAAATATGTAATGGAATTCAAGGGAATATCAGATAGAATCGCCTTACTAAATATAATATTACCAAATCAAAAAGTGCACTGGACAATAATTCAGGTATATGCTCCTACTGAAAACGCAAATGAAAGCCAAATTCTTAAGTTCTACAGAGATCTAAATGACACTGTTCAAAAATCACATAACTACTTAATAGTAATGGGTGATCTTAATGGTAGAATTGGTAACTGTAGGGCTGGCGAAGAAAAACTCATAGGTCAACATAGTCAAGGTCTAAGAAGTCAAAATGGTCAAAGAGTTGTAACTTTTGCATTAGAACATAGATTAGCAATTATGAACAGTTTCTTTAGTAAACGAGCTCACCGTAAGTGGACATGGCAACATCCAAATGGTCGCAATTTTAATGAAGTCGATTTCATATTATGTAATAAACCAAATTTAATTAATGATGTCAATGTTATCAATAACTTAAATTTCTCTTCAGACCACAGAATGGTTAGAACATATATATTAGATATTAATAAGAAAAAATCAAGAAAGCATTATAGCAATAAAAAGTTGCAAAGTACACAATTACATAACTCCGATAATTTAGCAAAAAATATCCATGAATATTTTAATCTTAGTAATATAAATGAGAAACCCAGTTCGGTGCAAGAAGAATATAATGCCTTTATTAGAAAGATTAAAGTGTCGGTCCAAAAAACTGTAAGCACTTCGAAAAGCTCGTTATCAGAGAAAGCATATGAACTAATACAAGAAAGAAAACTCCTGTTAAAATTACGACGGGACAAAGCTCTTAACAAAAAGATTACTGACATTAGTAAGAAAATTACAGTACAGCTACGGAAAGACAGGAAAATGAGAAGGTTAGACATTTTTAAAAGACATATTGAAAAAACTGGAGGAGTAAAAAAGGCTATAAAAGAACTAAAAGAATATAAAGTATGGGTACCAAGTCTGATAAATAATAAAAAACAAAATACAGGCAAGAGACGTAAAATTATAAATATAGCAACTGAATTTTATAAAGATTTATATACATCCCATAAAATTAGTAATAAATTAACTAAAGAAGAAAATAATTATCAATGTAGGCAAGAAGAACCAGTACCAAAAATATTAGTAAGAGAAACAGAAAAGGCCATCCTTAATCAAAAAAATGGAAAGTCACCAGGAGAAGATCAAATTACAAATGAGCTCCTGAAATGTTCGCTGCCTATAATTGCACCACAACTAACAAAATTATTCAATCAGATTTTAGAAACTGAAGAGATCCCCATACAATGGACTGAATCTGTAATTACATTAATACACAAGAAAGGAGATAAAAACGATGTAAATAATTACAGGCCAATTAGTCTTATGAGCCACATTTACAAAGTATTTTCCAAGGTACTTTTAAACCGTATGACCAGAATATTGGATGAAAACCAGTCAAAAGATCAAGCTGGTTTCAGAAGCAATTATAGCACTCTAGATCACATACATACAGTTAAACAAATTGTAGAAAAATACAATGAATACAGCCTAGATTATTACCCGTGTTTTATTGATTATACTAAAGCATTCGACTCCTTAGAACATGAGTCCCTATGGGAGGCTTTACGGATGCAGGGTATAGAACTCAAATACATAAGATTATTGCGTAACATATATTATAAGAGTACAGCAAAAGTAAGATTAGAAAGAACAGGACAACCCTTTCCTATACAAAGAGGCGTTAGACAAGGGGATCCCATCTCCCCTAAACTATTCACAACTGTACTAGAACAGATATTACGAAAAATGGAGTGGACGCATTATGGTTTGAATATAAACGGCGAGTATTTGACACACTTACGATTTGCGGATGACATAGTTCTTCTCACAGACAGCTCTGAAAATTTGCAAATCATGGTTCAAGAACTAGCAAATGAGAGTATGAAAGCTGGACTGTCTATCAATATCAAGAAAACAAAGGTATTAACAAATGGCATACACAAAAACATAACATTGAATATGTTGAGGAATATTTATATCTGGGCCAAATAATCTCTCTTGCAAATGACACAAACAAAGAGATTGACAGGAGAATCGCCAATACATGGAATAGGTATTGGTCATTAAAAGAGATTATGAAAAACAAATATATATATATGAATGACAAAAAGAAAGTGTTTGATACATGCATATTACCTTGTCTTACATATGGGTGTCAAACATGGCCATTAACTGAAAGAAATCTTAAAAAATTAAAAGTATGTCAAAACAGCATAGAAAGAAGTGTCTTGGGCATTAAAATAAAGAATAGGGTTAAATTAGTAGAAATTAAAGAGAAAACAAAATTCAAAAATGTTATTTATACAATAAAAAAATTAAAATGGAGATGGGCAGGACATATTATGCGAGAAAAAACACAAAAATGGACAACAACTGTAACAGACTGGTACCCTAGAATAGGCCAAAGAAGACAGGGAAGACCACTGACACGATGGGTTACAGATATAAAAGCAGTAGCAGGTGCATTTTGGACAAGGATAGCCAAAGACAGAATAGAATGGAAGACTCTGGAGGAGGCCTTTGTCTTTGGACAAGAGAGAGGTGACAGAACAGTTACTACTGATTGAATATTATTTACATTGAATTGTTTATTATGTTACTTCTTTAATAAAGGCTTATATTATTATTATTATTATTGTTCGCGACATTATTTGTATATATCGTAATTTATAGTTGTTAAGTCCCTAGTTAATCGTTTCTGTATTCTGTTATTTTATATAGATTTACATAGATTTAAGATAGTGTAAGTTAAATAAAGTATTCCTTTGCGTGTTGTCGTTATTACCTACGAATAGAAATTGTAACAATAAATAGAATTAAGAAATTGTAAATTGAAATAAAATAAATAAATAGACGCTATAGAGTACCGATCTGAAGAGACACGCGTCTCGTTCATTTTCGCCCCGTCCCGCTCGCACAGATCGCTATCGCGAGTTGGAAACATTATCGTGCGAGCGGGCGGGTATAAAGATAGGCCGCCTCCCGTCGAGCGGCATTCGCTTCCGGGCAGCGGCGCACTACACTCGAGAAGAAATAGGACAAGAAGAAAAAATACTCTCTTCAGACGGTACCGGAGGCTTCAGAATAGTAATCCCTGTGTTTCACTCCAGCCTGAACCAACGCCCCTACAGTCCACGCTCACCGAACGGCAGTCCACACCGTTCATCGTGGTCCTTCGAGAAGCCGGATTGCTGGAGGAACACCGTTGGTACATCGAGAAGCCGGATCGCTGGAGGAAGACCATTCTGAAGCCGGATCGCTGAAATGCCGACTACGAGAAACATGAAGTCGTCGCAACAAAAAATCGCCGTCACCGAAGCCACAGCGTCCGCCGCCACGTCGACTACGGCCGCCGGAACGCTGTCCGTCGCTGCCACGCCGTCCGTTGCTGCCACCACGTCGTCTGCGGCTGTCAGAATGTCATCTGTCGCTGCCACGTCGTCTACCGCCGCCACCACATCGACTACGAACACGTCCGGCGATACGACGACCACAGGAGCCACGGAGACTACCGAAGCCACAGGAACGACAGAGGAGACAGCAAGGAAGAAGGAACCGAAGCACGGCACGGCACGCACGGTTCGCACCACGGCCTCACAGAAGAAGAAGGCTCTGGCCAAGGCACGGGAGGAGCTACTTCGAAAGGAGGTGGAATTGGCTGCCGCACGTGTCGCCGCCCTGGAAGCCGAATCAGAGGACGACGAGGAAGTAGAAGACGACGACGCTACCGTCAGAAGAGAACGAACGTCGGATTGGGTTCATCGAAGCACGCTGGCACTCACGATGGAGCCGCATGTACCAGAGATAGAAGAAGTCACCGGCAAGCGTCAGGGGTTCGTCCCATCGAGACCCGTTGAAGAGGATTCGAGAGCGCCGCCGCCACAGCCGAGCAGCGACGCACTTCACCGGGACCACGCACGCCACGTTGACCCACATGCCGCCATGCCTACGATAGCAGCAGCGATGCAGTCGATGAAGAAAGAAGAACCGGTGCTGAAGGTGGGCATCGATTGTAATGAGTTTGCGATCGCCATGCAGATGGCCGCTCGCAACATACTGCCCTCCACAGCGTCAAGAGTCACCGAGTTGCCAGTCTTCAATGGATCGTCGAGCGAGTGGTTACCATGGAAGATGGCCTATGAAGAGAGCGCAAGTCAACTCACAGAACAAGAGAACCTAGCAAGACTGCGCAGAAGTTTGAAGGGGGCCGCAAAGGACGCGGCACGCTCCCTATTCGTCGGGTCTACGACCGCAGAAGAAGTAATGAAGATGTTAGCCGCGAGGTTCGGCCGCCCTGGAGCACTCGTCACAGCCGAACTGAACAAACTCCGCGCGCTACCACGACTCTCGGACAACGCAAGAGACGTCTGCCTCTTCGCAAGCAAGGTGCAGAACGTCGTCGCCACGATACGAGCGCTGAACAAGAGTCACTACCTATACAACGAAGAAATAGTGAGAAACGTCACAGAGAAGATGCCGTCGGTACTACGCTTCAAGTACTACGATTTCGCCAACGACCAACCGGAGGGACAACCGGACCTCATAACACTCTCT